GGAAGTAGATTGCCCCATCTTCCTTCTGAGGAGTGGCCAGTGAGTTTGAACTGCCAGCCTTCTGGTTAGCAGTCAAGTGCCTTAGCCACTATGCTACCAGAGCTCCCATATGAGAATTAGAGGTTATAAATATGTAATTTTCTATAGGATTTTAAATCATCCTGATAAAATAAGCATGCAAAATGTTTGTTATTAGTACTTGATAAAATAAAAGGAAAAACACTAAGCACAAGCATTTAGGAACTTTTATTGCAATTTGACATTGCTGTGACATTTTCATTTTTATAAAATACTGCTCCTCAACAGAATTGAAATTACAAAACCAAACAAATTGAAATTACAAAAATATAGATAGCTTGGGAAGCACTGGTCCAGGACAATGGACTAATGATTTCAAAATTCTAATTGAAAATGATTTCTAAACTAGAATTCTATACCCAACTAAACTATCAATCAAGTGTAAAGGTAGAAGTGTTAGTAATGGAAGAATTCTTTAAAAAGTATTTTCTAAGTATACTTTACTCCATGAACGTGAGAGAGAAAAATCAACAAAGAGGAGGACTGAAGATTCGTGAAGTAGGTAGTAACATAGTAGAAAGAAGTAGGAAGTTCCTAGAATGTAGACTCTGGTAAAGGGAAATTCCATGATGACTGAATGTTGTTCAGCAGATCTAAAGAGAGATCCAGGGGTAGTGTATTTTAGACAAAGATAATTTGATAGATTATTTAATGATTTGAATATATTGAAATGAGGTCATACTTCTGATAGTTTGATACACAGAAAACTAATACAAACATATAAAAGAGACAATTGTTGACTCCAGGGAAAACAAAACACTGTATGAGAAAGGAAATGTAACCATAATACAATACATGGTTCAGCTGTGAACCATGTCTACTTATGTAGACATAATGGCATTATTCATATTGATCTAACTAAAATATTACATAATTCACTCCTCATAATAATGTTATGAGGTGATCTCCATTTTTACACACTATCTCCATTTTATAGATAATGTGGAAACTGAAGAAAAGTCACAGTAGATAATAAAGCTGGTATTTTAATCCTGACGCTCTGCACTAAGGCACAACACAACAGAGGAACCCAGTAGAGGAAATCACTTAGCTGTGTTGGGGAAGTTTTAAGAGTTCTGAACAAAGAAAAATAATTCACTAAGCAGAGCTGAGTGAAATGTGTGTGTGTGTGTTTAGTCAGAGGGAATGCTAAGAGACAATCATGGAAACAGAATTCATTCTAGATCATTGTACAATAAAGGAAACCTACAGACAATGAATGAGGAAGGAACAGCGAGCAGGGCAACAAGATAATTATATTTGTGCTTTTAAGGGTAAGTTTGAACAACGTGATGAAGAAGGGTAGAGAAACCCACTACAGGGTTATAATGCTAGATGAGAAATGACAAGACCAATATTAAAAAAAAGAAGAAGGCCACAGTAGGAAAGAAGATAAAGAAGAAATGAACTCAAGAGCTAATTTAGAGGGTCAGGTCACCATGGTTTGCTTTCTGAATAACTATGGTGCTATAAAGATCATGGGAGAAAGTCAATAGAGGATGGTTATAGGTTGCTAGCTTGAGCAACTGCAAGCACTGATAAATATCACGGAAAAAGTAGGCTTAAGGAGAAGTTCAAGGAGTCCAGTTTGAGACATACTGAATTCAGGTTGTCATTCAGACATTACACAGTAGGAAACATGGGTCTATAACTAAGGAGAGAGAAGGGAGTCAGAGATACCTGACTCTGCTAGGAGTCAGAATTACTTTTGATAATATCTTTGGGAATCATAGAAGCTTCTTATAGAGAAAGGTCATTATTATTTTCCAAAGTATTTCATCTCACGTTGGAAAACTGTAGTACTCAGTATTTGACCATTTAAGTTAAAACAAATGGATTATTATAAATGCCTATATTTAGGACAACCAACTTTTGAGTGTTAAGTCTTTAAAGTGTTAAGGAGCAAAGATATCACTTTGAAGACTAAGATGGGGTTAACCCAAGCCAGGGTATTTTCAATCACCTCATATACATATAAAAGCTGGACAATGCATAAGAAAGACTGAAAAAGAGTTGATTCCTTTGACTGTGGTATTGGTGAAGACTACTGAAAATTCCATGGACTGCCAAAAGAATAAACAAATCTATCCTGGAAGAAGTGCAGTCAGAATCCTCCTTAGAAGTGAGAATGGCCAGATTTCATCCAACTTACTTTGGTTATGTTGTCAGAAGGGACTAGTCCCTGGAAAAGAACATCATGCTTGGTAAACTAGAGGATCAGAGAAAAAGGGAAAGACCCTCAATGAAATGAATTGACACAGTGGCTGCAATGATTGGCTCAAGCATAGCAAGGATTGTGAGCATGGTGCATGACCAGTCAGTGTTTCATTCTGTTGGATATGGGGTTGCTATGGGTCAGAGTTGCCTCAACAACATCTAACAACAACTTTTCAGTCACTCCTATGCTACATGTAGTGACATTTACATTAGAAATTATACAGAAAGAAAAGGTAAGCATATGTTCACTTAGAATGCAGTGGTGAGTGAGTCCAATAAAAATTAAGAGCAGAAATAGAGAAAGAGAAAAAAAAAAAACAATAAGAAAAGTATTTGGAAATATAAAAGTTTAATTCATTAATAAAATTGATGTTAAGGAAGGAGAAGAAAATCAGAAATGGTAGAGAAGATTTGATTACTATGGAAGATAATTAAAATTGGGTATAATTATTTTTAGCTATTTCCTAATATGGAGGTGGTGTAGTGATTAAGACATTTGACTGCTAACCAAAAGGTCAGTGGTTCAAACCCAGCAGCTGCTCTGTGGAGAAAGATGAGGCAGTCTGCTTCCATAAAGATTGACAGCCTTGGAAACCCAATAGGGGTCTCTATGAGTTGGAATTGACTTGATGGCAGTGAATTCTCTTTCTTCTTTTTTTTTTTTTTTGTATGCTAATATAATATTTAACACGGAATAGGTAAAAAGCTACAAAACTAAAAATATAAAAAGCCAGTTCTTCAAGAAAGATAATTCAAGGTCAATTATAAATAAATTAAGGAAGAGATGCTCACATACATTGAAGCTACATGCCCAGCTGTTGATGTGACCTTTGCAGGTATTATTTTCTGTAATAGGAATCCCATCCACACTGACTCTGACAGTGTAGAAATCTTCTGGCATTGGTCTGGAAGGTAAATGAAGAACATATGAGAAATGCAGTATCTCTTTTATTTGATGTACATTAAACCCAAAAATCCCAAACTCACTACTATCGAGTCGTTTCTGATTCATAGCAACCCCCCTTGGGTTTCTGAGGCTGTAAATCTTTACAGAAGTAGATTTCACCATCTCCCTTCCACTGAGCAGCTGGTGGGATTGAACTGCGGACATTCCGGTTAGCAGTCAAGTGCCTTATCCACTATGCCACCAGAGCTGGACCTTATCCACTATGCCACCAGAGCTGGACATTATTAATGGGAAAAAAAAAAAAAAAAAGCCCCAGTGGTACAGTGGTTAAGCACTCAGCTGCTAAGCAAAAGAGTGGAGGTTCAAAACCCAGCAGCCACTCTGTGGGGGAAAAACCAAACCAAACCCACTGCCATCAAGTTGATTCCAACTCACATTGACCCTGTAGGACAGAGAACTGCCCCTAGGATTTCCAAGGCTGTAAATCTTTATGAAAGCAGACTGTCACATCTTTCTTCTGTGGAGCTCCCATAAAGATTACAACACTGGAAACCCTATGGAGCAGTTCTAATCTGTCCTATAGGGTCGTTATGCACTGGAATCAACTCAATGGCATACAACAACATTAATGAAAAATGCTGCCCTGGATCACATGTCTTTTGCAAAAAGTGCTAAAATTGTAATTGATGTACAGTTAGATTCCATTCTATGTTATAGAAAGTTAAAGATCTCCACACTGAACTCTGCTACAAATTCTACCATCATGAACCTCAGGCCATTGCCTATTATGACTGGGTATAACTGCTTATTAAAAAGGATACTTCCAACAACAAATGCAAGAAGAAGCACTTAAAATGGTAATATATCACGTAGGTACATTTAGTTGTTTTATACTTTGTATGTTTAAAAATATTAGTTTCTCAAGGTTCCCTTAAGCAAATTTCTATTGCTGAAAAACAAGACAGCAAGCTTAATGTAGATGAAATCCTATGGACTATGTGCTACCTGTTTCTAAGGTCAATATTGAAAGTAGCAATTTAAAATGATTTACATTTTTTTCTCTCCTAAGTTGCTAATTACATACATCAATTTGGGCTGATAGTAAAGAACTTGAAATGAAACAATACAAAATGACCATCTTTAATCTTAACGACCATGTCAAGATTTTGAACAAAATTAATCAAACTGGACAGGAAAACATAATTTTGGTATTTTGAGGCATATCATCACCATTTAATAGTAGCCATTTATCTTCTAAAGGAGCTCAATTATGATAAAATAACAGCTCCAATAACGTGAGAAAGGATATAGAATATATTTCTATCATGCTAATATGAGGAAAGTGTAATTAAATAAAAGTATAAAATATTCTAAACATCATAAAATTTAAAAATGATTGATAATCAGGAAAACATTACTATAATATCTATGATGATAAAACTATCAAAATGCCAATACATGTAATGTCATGCTGATACAATGCAAATGATGCTATATTTTCAAACATACCTAGTATAACATGTAATATGAGTTGAATGACTTGCATCTTTTTCTACATCACAAGGAATTGACTGGAAAGAAGAAACTAATTGCACACTGTTTCCCCATTCAGCATTATCAACTCCATAGTTAAACTGGTTTGCTTGAGCAAAACCTAGAAAAGTAAGAAACTCAATTTTTCAGTGAAATTCTATTGTCATAAATACAATAGTTGTTATTCAGTATTGAATCATTCAATAAAAAACGAAGAATGGTACTGAAGTAAGGAACGTTGGTGAGACAATGGTGAAGCATTCAGCAGCTCACTGAAAGGTCAGCAGGCAGTTCTAATCCACCAGTTGCTCGGAGGGAGAAAAGATCTGGTAATCTCCTGTAAAGATTACAGCCTAACAAACCCTCCAGGACCGTTCCACTCCATCCTATAGGGTCACTGTGAGTCGGAATTGGTGGATGGCACACAACTAAAGTAAGTGGTTAATCTAGTTCATATGTATGCCTATGACTATAATCTTCTTTGGAAGTGTCACAACTTCTCACAGCTCACAGCTCTGCCTCCCATGGATGCCAGCAGTGGAAAGTGAGTGAAGAGCTCATAAACTCTTTGCAGCATTTATGACTGAAATCAGAGATGATGCCAAGAAGTGAAGAGGGCCACAGACACAGGAGACATCCGATATAGATGTCATGGAAGCTTTCCAGCGGGATGAGCCATGAGAATGTCTATGGGAGGCACATGTCAGATAAAAGGATGTTCAAAACAGGATGTTCAAAACCTTGTGGGAACATATCTGTAATTTCAAATAATAGCAAGTATGATTGGAAAAGTATGAGGGAGGAGAAGTGGCAGAAAATGAGACCAGAAAGGGAGCAGTTTAGATTTTGTGATGAGCAGGGAACCGCTGGAGGCTTCGCAACAGAGCGGAGGCATTGTATGGCTTACACCCCAGTATTCATTAGCTGCTGTTCTGAGAAGAAACTGGGGCGTGTGTGAAGAGGGTTGTCTCAGTTATCTAGTGCTGGATAACAGACACATCACAAGTGGATGACTTTAACAAACAGAAACGTATTCTTTCACAATTTAGGTACCTGTTGGCCCCCTGCTTTTTAACTTATAAGATATTATCACTATGTATTACAATGGTTCATTGTAAAACATGAACACTGATGAGTGTAGAACTGGAAGTATGGCTTTCTACAGGCCAAATGTTCATCAAAGGCTGATGTTCATAAATCAGCAGTGGTAAAGTTGCATTTTGGGCGGTAACGCTGTTTACAGAAAAGGGGTCAAGCTTTGGATCCTGACATCCTGGGTCAGAATTCCCCAGCAGCTGCTCACTATGTAAGCTTGCACAAGATATAAACTCTCTGAGCCTCAGTCTTTTCATCAGGAAAATTATAATATCTACCAAATGGGATTGTTATGAAGAGTGAGAATTTATAGTGCTTATAGTGGTTCCTAAGGAACTCTGGGGGAGCTCTGGTAGCATAGTGTCTAAGGCACTTGACTGCTAACCAGAAGGCTGGTGGTTCAAACCCACTAGCCACTCCTCGGAAGGAAGATGAGGTGATCTACTTCTGTAATGATACTGCCTTGGAAACCCAAGGAGGGATCGCTACGAGTCGGGTCTGACTCAACGGCACATAACAACAACAACAACAACAAGGAACTCTGGCAGCATAGGGCCTAAGGCATTTGACTGCTAGCCAGAAGGTTGGTGGTTCAAACCCACTAGGTGCTCCACAGGAGGAAGATGGGGCAATCAACTTCCATAAAGATTTACTACCTCGGAAACCCAATGGAGGTTGCTATGAGACGAAATCAACTGGATGACAGGAGTTTGGTTTGATTTGGTTACAGTGGTTCCTGGCTCTTATATTAAGAGCTCAGTAGATATCGGCTCTTATTATTAGTCATGAAATTCCTGAGATTTAGATAAGTATTAATACTCCCTTTATAAAGATGATGTAAATGAGATTCAGAATTGCTAAGTGCCATTTAAAATACCACAGAACCAATAACTGGGGACCCAGGATCCAAACCTAGGTCGTAGATGCCAAAGCTACCACCCTATTACCTAATGCAACTTCCCCCAGGTCCTATGTTCTCAGCTTCAACCCAACATTTTACATGTAGATGAAGTAAGGAAAACCCAATAAAAGGCAGGAGTTTTAATAAACACCACCTTCTTCTTCTAAGCTTAAACCTCAACCAGGACTTAACATCAATTTATAAGCATCAATATGTGAAAGATACTGTCATTGAATTCTCAGTTTTGAATCTAGAAAAGGAGTTACCACTACAGCAGAATTTTGAGAAGATACATGAAAACAGAAAAGCAAGCTACTTGTAAACTCCCTCTTTCCTTTTGCCAACTCCTTCTTATCTTTGGTGTTCACATTGAGTTTGGAACAAACAGATGAAGTGCTGGCAACTAAAGAAAGGAAAATTTTACTTGAGGAGTGGATTTGATATATATACTTATTTTCTTATTAGGCACATGTTTCATCAGTGTTACAATAATATGGATTTACTCTTTAGTTAGACAACTAAAACAATACTCAAAAATGACACAAACAAATGACAGTGTTTTTAGCTTAGGAGTTGCTATAATGTCAAAGACACTATGGATAATATATCTATTTATTTATTATCTATTTTTTAAATATATAATATATATAATTTCTAAAACATATATTAGAAAATGTTCTAGGAGTAAAATCTATGGAAAAATATAAAAGAAATCAGTAAAAATATATAATATATATAATTTCTAAAACATATATTAGAAAATGTTCTAGGAGTAAAATCTATGGAAAAATATAAAAGAAATCAGTAAGATTTATAAATATCTTCAATATAAATTTTCCTTAAAAAATAAAGTCAGCAAGTATAGTTCGAAACACTAATTCTAATTTTAAAACTAATTCTAAGTAGATAAAAAGAGATACAAAAGAATCAGCAGTAAGAAGAATGTTTAATTTAAAAGTATAACTCTAAATAATTGGGTATAAAGAAGACACATCTGGCCATACTACCAAGCACGAGGATTAGAGGAAGTGTTGGGTGTACCCTGGAAACAGAAAAGGTTGAGCCTTCAGCTGGAAATTCCTGACATGTTGATGTAATTTTTTTTTTTCCTTTTGCAGAAAACTGGAGACAGGAATTGCCAGGCACGTAAACCTGAGTCTCCTGATAGATGCAATCCAAACATAACGCCCGTACTGTTATCATGGAAAATGTCAGTGTTGGTAGAGGCTGCAGTTGTCAGGTACAATGCAGGCTATTTTGGTTTCTCTGGTTAAAACAAGGTTGACACTGTATAAAACTACCTAAAAGTTGTCATGTTCACAACAATGGGAAAGAAAAGCAGTGTGATGTAAGAAAAGTCATAAAGAATTGAAACCAAACTTGTAATATAAATGCAACATGATAATTCTACAAATGAAATAACTCTAATTTACGGAGTATATATTCTATATATGATGGGTATCTTAGATACATCATCTTTTTCAACATTTAAAATATCTCCTAAAGGTAGGAATTACTGTTCCCATTTTACTGATGAGGAAGCTGAGGCTCAGAGACCTGCCACAATCACATAGGAGAAAGTGGCAGAAATGGAATTCAAACCACATTGAACTGGACCAAAGTCCTTGTGCTTTCTAATAATAATGTTCACGTTAATAATATTAAAATAATGGCATAATTCAATTTCATTTGAACAAAGATTTACTGAATTCTCACATGCCAGGCATTGTAACAGGGAAATAGGAGAAAAAGCAAAAGTAAAATGTTAATCTTCCCATTAAATTATGTTTTTTAAATAAAAGAAACATGGTAAATACCAAGGAAGTACACTGAGAAATACAAAGTATGAAAATAACATAACAAAACACTCCAGAACTTATCAAAATGATAATGTTCCTCTTCAAAGTAATCACCTCAGAAGGAGATGTAATTATTTTTATGATCTTGCCATTGCTCAAAACACATTAGTTGGGCATCATAATTTTTTTTTTATATCTTTGGCACTTGAACACAGTCTTTTGAGCAAAGTAATATGTAAAATGGTAACAAATTCTTGTTTTCAAGAATAAATCCTGTGTTTGGAAATAGCCAAATGTAATTTGGATACACAAAATGTTAACAGTAAATCTCTCAAGGGAATGCAATTTCAGAGAACTTACTTTCCAAGTAAACATTTCTATAATACTTTTGTTATAGTGACCTGTATAGAATAAAGCACTTTTAAAATCATCTGGAACTAACATTTAGGTGATCATCTTGAGTTTACAATTCCATCTAGAAATCGTTCTTGTGTGTTTGATAAATTAACTTTTCAAGCAATTCAATAAAAGGACTCCTAAAATTATTGAATTATACTAATGTAGTCCCTCCAAATAAATGTTGTTCAAGTACAGGTACTCCTCAACTTATGACATATTCAAGTTATGACAAACCCCACTTATGAATGTCTTTTTTGTGTGTTTACATCTTGTGGTTACTAATATATACTATATGCGATGCTGCATGTACTTTGCTGATGTTCCCATTCTCAGATGGTCATTCACAGATGTTCAAAGATTGGATTTATAAAGATACTTATAATAAAAACTAAAAAAAAAAAAAAAAAGGAAGTATTCAACTTATGTCAACCCTGACTTTTGACAGACTAGTTGGAATGGAACCCCACCATATGTTGAAGGCTGTTTGTACCACATTCACGTAGATAAAGCAGCTCTGGTGCATTTTGCAAAGTTAATTTCATTGGTTTAAAAACATTCCCTCTGTATCACAGTCACACAAAAAAACTACATAAAAACAATATGTAGACTCAGTGTTTTGGTTACCTCTGTGCTGCTCTAACAGAAACTATACCACAAATGGGATGGCTTTAACAAAAGGAGTTTATTCTTACAATTTGGAGGCTTTAAGTCTGAGTTCAAAGTGCCAGACTCCAGGGGCTGGGTGAAAGCCCCTCAACCTTGGTGTCCAGCTCTGCCTCCTGCTCCCAGCCCACTGAAGCTAGAGGCTTTTCTTCACTCAGCTGCTGGCTGCTGAGGCTGACAAACCCAAGGTCGATAAGTAATAGGGCACAGTCCCAATATTACCAAACCACAAAGCAGGCCATTAATTCAAGTCCATTAAGTCCCAAGGTCGGCAGAGCATGGCAGGCTGCTAAACAATGACAAGGCTACACGCAGGGTTCAAGCGTGCCATAAGCTACAGACCATTCCCAAAACTGCTGCTTATATACGGGAAGCAGACCACATCCCTAAAGCAGCTACTTGGCTGCTTGTGGTAGGTCCCACCAGGGAGTTGATTGCCAGCCTCCTCATGGGGAAGAACTACCACCAGCTGCCCAGCCACTCAGCCAAGTTGACACACAACCTTAACTACCACACAGCCTCTGTGAAAGACATATGCTAATTTAGTTTTAGTTACCTATGTTGTTGTTGTTATGTGCCATCGAGTCGGGCCCCGACTCATAGCGACCCCTCCTTGGGTTTCCGAGGCAGTATCACTACGGAAGTAGGATTGCCCAACCTTCCTTCCGA